AATGGGCTCTATATGATTATCTCTTCTAATTAGCAGTTTCAGCTTAACATTAGACCTAAAAGCTTACAAAATTTACTAATACAATAAAATAATAATAATAATAATAATAATAATAATAATAATAATACGTGTAGAGCGGCCGCAAAAGGTTCCGTTAATATTGCTGTTTTCAAATTTAAATTATCAGGAACTGGTATGATGGCATTTATGGGTGCAAGGATATAAGGCGCCAAGCCACCAGGTTGGTGGTTTATTCCCAAAGTTATCTGAAAAGAATTAAAGTTATTGTTATGTTTCCAGTCAAATGCTAAGTTCAAAATTAATGTAACACAAATCATACACGATCTGGACATTGAGTCGATAATCCATTTTTACAGAAAAGACACGATTCGTTTGTAATTCCACGAGCAAAATGTGATGCGTTAATTTCTATTACAACGGGCTTAGATTGATTCTATTATAAGACCCGTTGATAACGAGGTAAGCCTATGCACATTATGATCGACTGCCATCTGTAACTTTTCTAAAAAGACAAATAAATAAGTAAATAAATAAAATAATAAAATAAATAAATAAACATTCTTATTTCCGTATTATTTATAATTTAAGGAATTTTCGATCCTGCGCCCCCGCGGAGCCATTCTGTACGCACCACCTTTGTCGATAAAGGAAGATAAAACATCAAACGAAATGAATCTACTTAAGAAAGTACTTCAAGAAGATAATATTCAGATTTGGTCCACTAGATGTGGTAACCTTTCAAATTCTCTAGAAATGTTATCTTCAAACGAAGACGTTACCAAAATTTTGGGTGAAAATATGATTTCAAAAGAGGTAAAATTACAAGATATCAATGATGGATTTAGCCTTGCAACTAGTGAAAATGTTATTAAAGTTACCGTAGATGTCGAGTATTGATAACATTAAATTCATATCATTGCATTGAAAATTTAATTTTTAATGTATTATTTGACTTTTCGATTGGTTGAGCATACTTTTTTTTTTCTCTTTGTAAAGTTTATTATGTCACAAACTATTACAACAGCAATAGTTTAAGTTGGATGAAAAAGATTGATTTATATAAGGGATGCATCTTTAACAAGCCCGAATAGAGTGTAGCCAAGATTTTCTAAAATTACGTATGGAGCGATATACATAAATATTCGCGACCCGAGACAAAAGAGTGGTTAATTATAAACTTTTTGATTAAATATAAAAAAAAGATTATGCTACATTTCTGTATATTGTAAAATCGCACGTCTGAGCATTAGTTTGAGTACCCGCGTATTATTTTGAATACGTATGTTATGTTGAGATAAAGAGCTAATGTCTGTTCTTTATTACCATATTATAAATCCGCAGACATGTTACGGTTACATTGGTGCATCTACTTTTCGAAAATCGTATCCTCTAAAAATAGTATACCTAGTTTCAAAATAACGCGCACCTAACAAGTTACATGTAGTGATCTAAGGTTGTTGCTCAATTCCCCGAAAGCTATTTACCCGACAGGCCACTTACCCGACATCACATAGGGTTAGGGTTAACAT